ATTTTAAACCGTTTAACTGATAGTAATATTCGGTCAAAATTAATTATTTCGGTTAACGGTTAAACGGTCAAAAGGAGCATCCCTATCAGGAACACTGTGAAAGATTCTTTAAGAACTGGGTGTGCTTGTGGTTTCAGCTGAGAGCGAGGAGAGCCTGACGGCCGAGCAGAACTCCGACGCCCCCTGCATGTCTTCTGGAACTGAAGGTCAGTGAGGCACTTTTTGTTGGATCCATGCACCACTTTAGGCCCAGTGTGTACCCAGTCTTACACACGGCTTAAGTAATGCTCGGCTGAAAAAATGTCATTCAAAAAGCACCCAGAAAGAATCTGCAATGTCAGTTTATGGTAAAATAATTAAGAATTCAAGACTTATGTGTGACACCAACACTAATTCTGGTTTCTGTTGCTTAGATGGTCACTCCAATGATGATAAACTCGATGTGAAAATACCCACGTGACGACAGCTCCAACCACACCACCTTTTTAACTAGTATTATGAACACTTTGGATGAACAGATCCAGTTTAGACTTCTTTGTATGTACTGAATGCTTGAAAGATTTATATTTCAAATTTGTATTTTAAAATGAAGGAACTTAGATATATAAATTAAAATTAAATTAAAACAGTTATCCTGCCTGAACTGAATTGTTACTGCCTACTGAAATGTGTGTGCCTCCCTTGGGTGTGTAACTGTTTTTGCATGACAGTGAAAATGAAACAAAGCATATGACTGGTTTTTCTAGGTGGCTATAAAAACACATACCATGTGAAAAAGACGAAACCTAACGATTTGGAACCAAAACAAACATCCTGTGAGCCGGGCTTTCTGTACACCACCGTGTCCACTCTGGGCGCCGTTTGCACTACGCGGTAATGGTTGTGGTGCTGTGATCTCGCGCACAGTAAGAGCACGTCCTGCCCCATGCGTGCCAGTCAGACGGCTGAGAGCATCCTGACAGTTTGACACGGTATTGTTGTACACATCACAACTGTCAACACAGAGAAATGTGCCCGGCTCAGGACCGGGAGCTTGTGCGCCAGACGGCCCACGACCTCAGGACTTTGCTCAGGTAAGACACGCCGAGAAGAGGGCACAAAAGATCTTTTGATGACAATAATAACCTTAACAATAGCAACCTGGTTTAAAAAAGACAATACATTCAAACACTGGAGTATTATGGGATATTGTTTCTCAGTTGCTTCCTGGAGACAATTCATATGCTGGTGTTTAGCTTAGCATCTAAATCATTCATGCAATTAACTGGATTCATTTTGTCCATCCATCCATCAAATTTCTGTAAACACTTATCCTATTGGGGGGGGGGGGGGGTCTTGAGCCTATCCCTTCGGCTATGGGTGCACAGCAGGAAACAACCCAGGATTCATTTTGTCAAAAAAGAAAATCCTTAATATAATATACAATTATGTCACACATTCCATTCATCATACTGCTCTTAGAAGTAATTATGGAAAGTGTAGTTAGGTTCTTCATCTATTAATGAGGTTCTTGAGCTTAAGTTCATATGCTTAACATGGGGCTTCCAGGACCAGCAATGTGTCCCATTGCCCTGTGTGTTATTAAAGTCCTACTGACCCGCGTGTACCGGCAGCAGTGGTGCAGACAGCGGTCACAAACGGAACGCTGCTTCTGGCCACGTTATGCTGCCAGGTTGCGCCGTTGAGTAACTAACGTTCAAATGCCTCACGTTCTGTTTTCCAAGGGGTGATGCGCTGCAGTTCAGATTAGTGGACACTTGCTTTTTACTGCGTCACGTGATCCGTTTTGCCTTGACGCACATTGTGTCGGCATTGTATACCCACACCCTGCCCCGGGGAACATGGGAGTGAGTGGGGCGTGGTGGGTGGTTACATCTGAAAGAAGACGGGAACGCAAGTAAACTGGGTTGAAAATATGGGAGGAATAAAATCTGGGCCAAAGATGTGCTCTGTCACTGCACACTCGCCTCAGATGTAAACACAAACAGATGCAAAGGGTAAAACTAACTCAGGAAGACTTTACTATGGATCTGCAATTCATTTTTGTTTTTTTCAGAATTCCTCACAAGATGCGCCATGTGTACACCTTGGGCTTCTACTTAAATAAAACTGGCCACATTTGACAGCAGTTGCACAAAGGGATAAATCCCCCCAGCAGGGTTATGCGCGGCACACACATATTAAAAGACGTTTTTGATTTTCTGCCGTCCGCCCCACGCCCACCTGGCCGCCGTTCCTCTTTCTCGCAGTCCGCCTCCTTCCTTCCTCTCGAGAGGATCAGTATTGCACAACCCCAGACGCTCCTCCCGGCTCGAGCTGCGCCTGAAAGGCAGTCTGGGACTTTTCGGCTTCCGTAGCTAAAACATCTCGCACGCACAAAACAAGACTACACTACATTTTTAAATAGTTGTTCACGTTTGTTTCCTACAGCGGATCAGAGGCGAACATTTATCGCAGTACTGCTTTTTTTTAACATCCGGAAGCGCAGCAGCGGAGGAGCGCTTAAGTGGTTTATTAATTTTTGTGTAGTAAATGGACGTTGCATGCATCGCGTTTGTCTGCTTGTTTGCATTCTGTCAACGTGAAGGCTAGTGCACCCTGAGCCCGTACCCCGAAAGAGCGGCGTGAACCCCGCTCGCAGAGCCGGTGTCAGCGCTGTACGCGAGGAAGCGGCGCTAAGTAGCCTAGCTACCTCCCGATCGGCGACCAGCAGCATAATGGGCTTTAGCTAATGACACTCGGCGATAAAATGACCGCGATCAATGGGAACGGAAGCGTCCCCGCCGACAGACGTTGAGCATTCGGCCGTACGGTAGCTAAGCTTGTTCCCGGTGCCAAAGCGCGGACTGCTGGCTACTGCGGTATCGCCGGAAAAAAAGAGGAAATTTGTATATCGAGAAGACCATGACAGGAGTGACACGGATCCGGTCCACTTCAGCATGGCGGTGCTGTTTTACGAAGGTCTGCTAGGATGAGCTAATAAAAGCCGGAGGGGGAATAAATCGAGACGCGCTCACAGCCCGAATGTAGCTAACCCACACAACGCTAACCCCGACGTCTGATTCCGCATTGACCTTCTGGCATATTAATCTGCAACAGGACATGCACGGAAGAAAGAGGGCTAACTGCGCGGATTCTTGTCAAATTTGTATAGCGATGGGGGCTACCCTAATTGCAAATAAAGAGAAGTAAATGCGCGTCGACTCTGCACTGCAAGCATGAACGTGATCTCGTACTGAAATCTGTCCAAGGGCATTTTATTTATTGTCTGTCTTGCACCCGGACTTTCGCACCCGTGCCGTGTTGCATATCACACATTTCGCTGTGTAAATATTATTGACAAATAAGCAAAGGCGTCCATACGCACCATGTCGGGAGACAGCTCGGGAAGCAGCGGCGAGGACACCGGCGAGGAGCTCCGGGAGGAGATGTGCACTATTAAACATCAGCTCACCAACGGTACGTGCTGTGCTTAGTGTATCTCAGGATGCCCTATTACCCCCCCTCTGTCCTGTTAATGTGCTGCCATAAGCGTCCAAGCATCTAAGCTTGTTGGTTGATGATTGCAAATAACTTTAAATCCAAAAGGTGAATTTTATTATGATTGTCGGTTAGTCTAAACATTATCTCTGGATAATATATATTTGAGCGAGTTATTGTTGCACGATGCATATAGTGCAATAGAGATAAAAGTAATATTTGTATGTCTAAAGAAGGCAGTGAAAAACAACTGATGGGAACGTTAATTTAAGTACGTTATTGCCGTAGACCCACTGATAGCCGTTTTTAAAGTATTTATCTGTATTTTTTTTAGCTAACCTTACAGGACACACTGAGAAAGTAGGCATGGAGAACTTTGAACTCCTGAAGGTGCTTGGAACTGGAGGTGAGTTACAGAGGACAGTCTGATTTCAGCATAAGAGGCCGCAGAGATTCCCAGGGTATCTCACACATCTGGCGTGACACTCGCACTTTCAGACACAGGCTCATGCAAGAAATCTTATGGCAAATCTGTATTATTCCATTATAATCCTAAAATTAGCTATATCAGATGTATTGGGGTAGTTTGCAAAACCTACAGACTAATTACAGGGTGATGAATCTGTTACATGCATGTAAATGTATGTGCATGTGTGTGCAGACTTGTCTCATTAAAAAAACACCAGTCAGCTGACCAAAGTTGGCAACCCTGCTGAATTTAGGTTCGCTTTTATTTAGTTGCACACATAAAGTCTTAAGTCTACTAAGAGAGGAGAATGTTGGCTTTCAAATGAAAGGCACAAGGTTGCCAGCTGTCACACATCTGGCGTGTCACACTTTCAGACTCGTGCTCACGCAAGAAATCTTACAACAAATGTGTATTATTCCATTATAAACTTAAAATTAGCTGCATCCAAAGCGTTGGGGTAGTTTGCAAACGCTATACCCTACACAAGGTAACAGCTGTTAAAACATGAAATGCAAGTTTTCACCTGCTTGGCTTGTCCCAAATATTGCAACTGGTTGGCTAAGGATCCCAAATGTTAACAGAAACCAAAATGCAAAGTATGTGTGAAGCTGTCTGACATTTCGAACATGAGCGGGTTGGCAGCTATGTGGCACGCAGAAGCGGTGCTGTCTAGTCACAGGTGGATGCCGGTGAAGGCGGGAGGGGCAGCTGCCCTGGGTGACCCCTCCTGGGGGGTCACTGACTTGGCAAACTGCAGGTGCCAGCCCTCACCCAAACCGTGCCCATACCTTTACTGTCATCGGTCACTCTTACATGGATATGAACGTCCCCTGGCAGAATAATGCCGCAGTTGTACTCTGTACCGCCTGATTCTGATACAGTAATTCTTATCGTCACTCTGTGTGTCTGCTGTCCACTCTGGGGGAATCCCCTGCTGTCGCTCTGTGGTGGAATGCCCTGCTGCCCTCCAGCATACGGGAAGGTGTTTCTGGTGAGGAAGAACAGCGGTCACGACAAAGGGAAGCTGTACGCCATGAAGGTATGCAGACGCTCCGTTAGGTCAAGGCACTGAGGTGCGGAACAGAGACGTCCCGTTCACTTAGTGCTTTTATTATACTATGAATGTATTCCAGTAGCACAGTGGGAGCTCAGAAGGTGCCATGTTGTGTAGGTGTATCACAGGTCTGCTTGTATTAAAACCTGAAGGGCCCCACAGTCTCTGTCACTCAGTGGGTCATTTGTGAGGAATAAGCTATATTGCTGATTTTTTTTTTTGATCTGATCTCCAAGTAATACCAGGGGTGGTATCCTGATACCAGTATTCAGTGCTGGCCCAACCCTTTTTGGGGCCCTAAGCCAGGGGTGGCAGGGGGGGTGGGGGCTGATGATAAAATTTCCCCCCCTAGTTTCGGGCCAATGAAAGCCTTGGTTTATGTCCTGCTCCCTGTAATAATATGAACCAGCGGTACTTAAATCGCAGCTCCGGTCCAGAACACAATGTCATCTGGACCCCTTTGTGTGCCTGATGAAATCTGGAGCTTGGGGGAAAATAATCGATGACCTCCGATATAAACATTTTAAGTAAAATGGGTAAAAAATAAATAAAAAATAATATATATATATATATATATATATATATAACATTAAGTGATTCTCAAAGTGAGACACTCTGATTGACTTGGCAGGTGCTGAAGAAGGCGGCCATCATCCAGAAGGCCAAGACGGCGGAGCACACGCGCACTGAGCGCCAGGTGCTGGAGCACATCCGCCAGTCGCCCTTCCTGGTGACGCTGCACTATGCCTTCCAGACGCAGGCCAAGCTGCACCTCATCCTAGGTGAGAGCAGTAGGGGGAGGGGGGTTCAGGCTGTTCCTGTGGAGGGGGCCGCCGGGGCGTCTGTTGGCGCTGGGGTGCACTGTGAGCCGGGAGTTTGCAGAGTCTCTTCAGGGTTGGTGTTTATACCAAAGCTTCTTTATGAATGACTGGTATAAAAAGCTAGTGAATCTGCGGCCCCTGATTTTATTATCATTATAACGCTGTGTGTGTGTGTGTGTGTGTGTGGGTTTGATCAAAAATTTATTTTGACCTTGTGGGGACAATTTTTCCAGTTCTCACAAGGGGAAATTCAATTTGATAAAAAACTGCGACTGCAATCAAAAAATGGCAAAAGTCTCGTATTTTGTTTGGTTATTTAAGATTAAGGTTGTCACTGCTGGATTAGGGTTTTTCCCATAGAAATGAATGGAGAGTCCCCACAATGACATGAGTGCAAAGTGCGTGTGTGTGTGTCTGGTGTAAATACCTTCATTTTGAATATACTGCATCAGAGCGTTGGTGTGAAATGTCTGCATGCAGATTATGTCAGCGGTGGAGAGATGTTCACCCACCTGTATCAGCGGGACCAGTTCACGGAGGATGAGGTGCGAATCTACATCGGGGAAATCATCTTGGCCCTAGAGCATCTGCATAAGGTATCTGCTTGTATCTCTCTGGTCATGATCTCCTTTTATGCCTGAGAGGCGCCCAGGATGTTACTCGGCTGTTCCGGCTGCTATTTTCACTAGATCCCGCTTTCTCTTAATTCCCCCCCCCACACACACATCTGTTAACGTGCATGGACTTCATTCCTCAACCTTTTCATCTTTGTTTCTTCTTTTTAACCTTGATCCATTTTAACATGGGCTGCCTTTGCTTTTTAAGACTCTCCCGTGTCATCTAATTTCCCCAACAGAATGTAGCCAAATGTGACTACAATATAAAACATGCCTTTGTCTCTCTCTCTCCATCACTGCACAGCTTGGCATCATCTACAGAGACATCAAACTGGAAAACATCTTGCTGGACAGTGAGGGACATGTGGTTCTGACTGACTTTGGCCTGAGCAAAGAGTTCCTGGGGGAGGAAGTAAGTAAACTCCAAATAGTATGTTGCAGTGTTGAGTAAAATAGGTGTCCAATACTGATCATCTAGGTTATTTTTTATGTTTTTTAATCTTGATTAGCTCCTTATCTCTACTCAAGACATTACTAATGGGGTCGTCTGTTCAAGTAATTACTCCTATAAAAAAATCCACAAGCTGAATTAGTGTAGAACTCTGTCGGACTGTAGATCTTGGACGCCAGACTAAAATAACAAGTGTATCCGTTCTGATCGGGCAACTTAAGTTGTAGGCTTTGTGAAAACACTCCGGCTTAGTGTGTTTAGGTGACAGTTATGTGTACACGCGTGTGATTTAGTGTGTGTGTCCGTGTCTTGACAGAAGGAGCGCACGTACTCGTTCTGTGGAACTATCGAGTACATGGCCCCAGAGATCATCAGGGGGAAGACTGGGCACGGCAAGGTGGTGGCTGGCTCTGTCTGTCATGGGCCGGGGGGGGGTCAGCTCTGAGTACTAGAATCTGTGCCTTAAAGATGGTGGTAGTTGACTTAAGCAGCGACGGTTTCCATCAATCACACCATTCACTTAGCACTGGGCTCTTGCCTCATTGAGATTTTTATGTCCCATAACCCAGTTCCATCGTGAACAGTCCGCAGGGTCTCCCAAAGCATCTTTATTTATTTATCTCAGAATAATGGGCGTTAATCAGTAAACTGCCATCTGGCCTCTGCTTCCCTGACTTCTTGGTGTTCCTCTTGCCATGCAGTCTGTGGACTGGTGGAGTTTGGGGATACTTATGTTCGAGTTCCTGACGGGAGCGTCACCGTTCACCTTGGAGGGGGAGAGGAATTCCCAGTCTGAGGTGTCCAGGTGAGCGGGGTGGGGATGTCTCCGCCCACTAGTTTTCAGACATCGTACCCACACTTCGCATGTTTGGCTTGTACTGTGCCTCTGCCCGACTGACCACCACTGACGTCATGTTCGTGCTCGGGAATGGTGTGCGATCACACTACAGGCGTACTGTGCCCATGCCCACCTCTTCCTGGACCCTGCCCATGCCTGTCAAACGAACTGGACTTTGGGGGTCAAACCTGCTCGGACACGGTACCTATCTCCTGGCATTGGTACCAGAGTTTCTGGTTCGCCAAAGGAGAATCCTCAACTTCATATTATTATGAGTGGATGAACTGAATTATTATCTAAAAACACACTACACAGAGACAGTGGGGATGGGTTTGTTTCTCCTTTTGGAGCAGCCTCTCATCTCCTCTCATCCATCTCCACGGTGATGTGTTTGCCTCTAGTTGTTGCCCTCCTCAGTCCTCATGCCTCCCCTCAGGCGGATTCTGCACTGCGAACCCCCGTTCCCTCCGGAGATCAGCCCCCTTGCCCGGGACCTCCTGCGCAAGCTGCTGGTGAAGGACCCCCGTAAGAGGCTGGGCTCCGGGCCCCGGGGCGCCGAAGAGATCAAGGGACACCCCTTTTTCAAGGTTCCTCTCGCTCGCTGCCGCCCTTCCGTGTCACGATGCCATCAGGGCACAGCAGCTCCCACCTTAAAGGGCCGCCGTCCTGCAGGTTCCGTGAGACGTTGTTATTAAAAAGCGACTGGCACCTGTAGCGGTAGGTGAGGAGATTTCCTCTCGAGTTAGCGAAGGCAGCACACTTTTGCCTCGTTTCCACCAACACGGAGCCTGCTGAGATGGTTTTTGCTCGCTGCCTTTTGAGAACCTGCCCGCGTTTCCATTGGTTTCAAAAAAGAGTGAATCCATGTGAATTCTGTTTGCTGCTGGTAATTTACCTTTGGTGTCCGCTACATCTCTTCGCCACTCGAGCACCACTATATTTTATTTATTCAACCTGCAACATATTTATACTATTTTATAAAATCTGGCCAGCAGATCAATCTTTCGTTTTCCGCAGAATATAAAAAGATGTAACGTTGTTCTGGTAATAAGCTGGCAAGTTGTTCCAGTTTTGGCACGGGCAATACGAGACAAAACTATATCAGTTACGGATCAAATTTTCCGGGTATGAGGAAGGTTTAGATGCGTCAGCCTGTCCCACTTTCACTGAGATTACGGTGCCAAATTCTGAGACCAGATTTTCTGTGGTGCCATGCTGGAGCCGTTTTTTTTCTGGCCCGGGGTCAGGTTTTATGTGGTGGAAACTCGCGGAACCACTTATGAAATGGAAAAAGGCCCAGCACCGGCTCTGGCACCGCGTTGGTGGAAACTGGGTATTAGTGCGAGAAATTGCTGGATGTGTATGGTGCACCGTGGGACCCTGTGGTCATCAGGGTACCAGGTTTGCTGCTCTTTGTGCTGCCAAAACCACCCATAACCCTGCCTCTGACCCCCCAGGGACTGAACTGGGCAGACCTGTCTGAGAAGAAGGTGGCCACGCCCTTCCGTCCCGAGCTGAGGAATGAGCTCGACGTCGGCAACTTCGCCGAGGAATTCACAGGCATGGAGCCCATCTACTCCCCAGCCAGCACCCCCCCGAGCACGGACAGGCTCTTCCAGGTATTCTCCCCTTGGGGGTCTGGTGAGCTCGATCTTCGGGGGTCTGGTGAAGTGCAGGATCCTGAACATCAACACACAGTGTTATTAGCACCCCGCAGAACCCAACAGACTCCTAGAATTAATATTGTAATGACGCTGATGTACGATGCACGTCATAAGAAGATGGAGACATTTTTAAGTACATCTTCACCTTTCAGAGATACGTCCATCATAACAGATTGAAACATGGTGACGAGTCAGACACCACAATGGCTGATATCGAGACTTAGACTTGCTATTATGTGACTTTCCCCGGGTTTCGTCTTGCGCTTCTCTTCCAGGGATACTCGTTCATTGCTCCGTCTATTCTGTTCAACCGCAACGCTGTGATGGGGGACATTCTGGAGGCCCAGACGAGCCCCGACCGGCCTGGTTCTGCCAGCGTGGAACGTAGTGCTACACTGAAGGTACTGGACTCTCTACACCGATTATTTAGTGTGGAAATGGCTTTGCAAGGTAATTAGGGAGCTGCTTAGTCCGGTATGATACACACAGACATATATTACAATAGAACATATGTAAATTAAGTTGACACATTAACTAAACTAAAAAAAATTTCTTCTGTTCTCCAAAAAGTCAGTTCCCAAACCCCTCCTCAGATGCACTTCAGCCATTCCAAGTATTTGTTACATTTCTACATCAGCGCAATTAGTTAATTAACAGGATTCATTAAACAATGAGGTATTGATTAGCTGAACGAGGTGGGGTAGTTGCTGCGGATACTGGGGTGACTAGGCGAGAGTTTGAAATAAGCTAAGCTCATGTGTCGTGGATTTCTGCCAACATGAGGACCATTAAAAACCATTTAAACATCGTTTTAGTTTTTGCGCAGCAATGTAACTGGCATGCTGGAGTGTTCCAGGTCACTTGGATTTTCCTGCACGACAGTTGATGATGCATAATTTTAGTCAATGTCATCAGTATTATTTGATGATAATTACCGGTTTAGTAGGCGAATCACAGTTTGGGTTGAGGCACAGCTTGAGAGTCAGGGTGCGGACACTGAATATTCATGAATGTCGCATGAACGCGGCCAAGCTGCCTTGGCAGAGTGACTCAGAGGCTCAGGCCTGAAACGGAACAGCCTCTGTATATTGCTGTAATTAAAAATATCAATACATGGCGTGTTTCTTATTGCCTCAAGACTGAAATTATTATTCTTACTGCCTTGAAACTGAAATTACAATTACAAAGTAGTTGATTAGCATGTACAGAAGATAAGCTGAAATCCAGAGGGTAAGGAAAAGAGGAGGGGGAGACTCCCTCGCCTCGGAGGGCCCTTCCGCCCTGGCTCCGTTTGACCATGCATGCCTGCCCAGGCGGGGCCCGTCGCATGTTAGCTGCAGGCGTCTGCCTGCGGGCTGCAGACCTTCTGTCTCCTCCAAGCAGCTGGCTACTGCCCACAAGGGGCGGGGCTGCATGCATGGGGGCGGGGCTACAGGCCCGGGGGCGTGTCCACACCACTCTCACTCTGATAGGCCGGATGGCTGGCACCACCTGAGCTTGAGTGCACAGTGTACCAAGTGGGTGTGTGCAGGTGCACTGTCATCTACAACATTACAGTGATTAGTCATGCTGGTTTTTTTTTTCTTTTCTTTTTTCCCAGTATCAAATAGGTAGTAATACAGGTTTTAAAGCTTTCATAGGTTTAACATTTTGAGCAAAATTAATGGTATTAATTTGTTTTTTGTCCTCAAAAATGACTCAGTGTGTCTGTGTACAAAACCTCTTGCAAAATGGCCGTCTGAAAGCACTTAACGATGAATAATGCGACAGTGGCTTAGGGTGACGGTGACGTCAGCGTGATGCGGTCCTGAGCACTAATGTCAAGGTGCCTTTTTCCTGTTGCTCCCTTCAGGAGTCCCAGTTCTTTCAGCAGTACGAGCTCTGCCTGCAGGAGGTGCCGTTGGGCGAAGGCAGCTTCTCTGTGTGCAGAAAATGCCGACACAAGCAGACCGGGCAGGAATACGCCGTTAAGATAGTGAGCCGAAGGTGAGACCACCGGTGCACTACTTCCTGTCTACACAGGAAGTGTTTTTTTTTTTTTTTATTTTATTACTTTTTGTGTTTGCACTTGGAATATTCAGCCTTGGCATAAAGGACGGCAGACATGAAGTCTAAGCTAAGAATAGTGCTTTTCTTTTCTTGTTTTTCCACTAAACTGTGTTTTAATAAGCGCATGCAGACTGCAACTGACATTCCAGTCACTGCAGTCCAGTCCATTGACATTGCAGGTAACGTAAAGTATTGTAAAAGATGCAAGTTGTACAACTTCCTGTGCAACTTAATCTCATTTTCAGAAATAAATACCAAACTGCAAAAACACGTCCTGAAATAGCAGCGAGAATGACCCATGTGTCCCTGAGTAATTTGCTCTCATGGTTGAACGCCGTAGTTTGCGGCTTAATGTTAACGTCGTGCTGTTTGCGCTGAATCGCCGCCGTCTCCTCTGTGTCTGGCTCTTCTAGGATGGAGTCTAACACCCAGCGAGAGATAGCAGCCCTGCGGCAGTGTGAGGGCCACCCCAACATCGTCAAGCTGCATGACGTCTTCCACGACCAGGTATCTCATCACCACACACACACACACACTCACAGTGCATCCTTACTGCTGATGCTGTATGTCACATGACGCGGTCACATGACCCCGCCCCCTGTCCAGTACCACATGTACTTGGTGATGGAGTTGCTGCGGGGGGGCGAGCTGCTGGAGCGGATTAAGAGGAAGAAGCTGTTTGGGGAGGGCGAGGCCAGCCAGCTGATGCGGAACCTGGTGTCGGCCGTCAGCTTCATGCATGACGCTGGAGTCGTCCACCGCGACCTCAAGCCGGAGGTACGGCCGGGGCGGGGAGCTGTCCCCGAATTCACCCGAAATACTCCATACGGCATGGAAAAGAGCCGCTGTTTAAAGTGCTCGCTGCAGCTGTGCTTCTGCTAAAATCGGAGCGATACAGCGAAGATTAGTGTGGCAAGGATGACGCAAGTGTGCGCAACGTCCCTTATTTTTGGGAGTGGTGTCACTCGGTGGGTTAGAGGTTCGCGCCCCTGTCCGGAAGCCTGTGGGTTCAGATCGTCGCGGTCCACCCTTTGAGAAAGGCCCCGACCCCAGCGACCGCCGGAGTGCTGGATGCTGGCTGAGCCTCTAAGAAATAAACAAAGGTGAATCTAAGTGTTCTGAATGTCCTGCTGGCTCTGCCCCTTCCCACATGAATATTCACCGCATGTGACTGGCAGCCGGAGCCTTAGCAACCAGTGCGCTCGTCGCTAAGGGCCGCTGCCTGGTGATGGCGTTGGCCGCGTGGCGAATCGCCATCCGAAAGAGGAGGCCGTGTGGACGCCGTCCCGCCTGTCTATCCCTCACTGATGAAGACGCTTCCCTCCTTTTGTAAAGACGCTTCCCTCCTTTTGTAAACCGCTAACTGCTGGGGTGGGGGGGTCATTCGCTGTCTAAGACGAGTTGCTTGATGAGTAACCCTGTAATGAGCGAATAGTCAGCCGTCAGCCACCGTCATGGGTTTTACACCCAAAATCAGACTCCAGATGTGCCCCGAATCTTAATGATGTCAGCAGTCGCCAGCCATTGCCGCCTTCTGCTGAGGGTGTTCAGTGTCGTCTTTAATAATGCTTAAGTCTTCATTATGGGATGTTCCTACTGTGGAAGCCTGGACATTGTTTGCTGCAGAGTTCCACCCAGCTGTCACTCGTAATGCCTTCATTAGGATAGTCAGTAGCCTCGTCTTTGAGATGTTAATCAGGAATGAATCCCCCCCCCCCCCTCAACAGAACGTGCTGTTCGCGGACGAGGGCGAGGATGCGGTCCTGAAGCTCATCGACTTTGGCTTCGCGCGCCTCTGCCCGGCCGGCAGCGCCCCCCTGCAGACGCCCTGCTTTACGCTGCAGTACGCCGCCCCCGAGCTCTTCCACAGCACCGGCTACGACCAGGCCTGCGACCTCTGGAGCCTCGGGGTCATCCTGGTATCTCGTCTGCGTCCGTCTCTCTCTCTCCACCATCTGTCTCGATCTGTCCCTCCTGGCTGCCTGTTTTTGTCCCCATGGAGTGTATCTCTGAAACCTGTGCTGGGTGGGACTCCAGTGTACTGTCACTCACTGATCAGAACCAGAAAGTAACCAATGGGGAGACAAGCACACAGCGATTGATTGGCTCATTGTAATCCCGCCCACCACAACTTTGTACCCTTGAATTGAAGTTTATGTGTGTTTCATATAAGTGAGTCATTATTTGGAGCCAAGCCCCTGTTGTAAATGCAACATTTTGATAGTGGATGAGCATTTCTGTCTCTTTGTCAGAGATTGCTAAATGCAAGAAACGTTTCTGGGAAAGGCGTCCCGCCGGTGTTTCGGTCGAAGACGCCAGCACTGATGGTGGAACTCTGTCTCCTCCAGTACACCATGCTATCTGGGCAGGTGCCCTTCCAGAGCGAGCTGAAAAGGATGCCGCTGTCGCACGTCGCTGACATCATGCGCAAAATAAAGGAGGGGGACTTCTCACTGGAGGGGGAGGCCTGGAGGAGAGTGTCCGAGGAGGCCAAAGAGCTGGTCAGAGGTAGGAGCCTGCGTGGCCTCTGGCGCCCCCTACCTGTGCTGTGTTGCTGTATGGCGTTCACTCACCCCCAACTGCATTCCAGGCCTGCTGACTGTGGACCCTGAAAAGCGACTGAAGCTCTCTGCCCTGCGGGAGAATGAGTGGCTGCAGGGTGGGGGGGCGCTCTCCTCCACACCCCTGCGCACCCCCGACGTGCTGGAATCCAGCGGCCCTACCGTCCGCACCTACGTCAACGCCACCTTCAAGGTTGGTTTCCTCACTCCTCCCGTCTAACATTTTCCATCCATCATCATCCATCCCCCACCTCCTTCTCTCTCTGCCTCCATTATTTATCTCCCCGCACTCTGCGCCTCCTCCGCCTCCTCACGGTCCCTTTTCTCCGGCAGGCCTTCAATAAGGGCAAGCGTGAGGGCTTCTTCTTGAAGAGTGTGGACAACGCTCCCCTGGCCAAGCGCCGCAAGATGAAGATGACCAGCACGGGTGTGGAGACGCGACGCAGCTCCTCCTCGTCGTCCTCCTCCTCTTCGTCCTCCACTGCGGTTCCACAGGCCCCAACTGTGGGAACCAGCAAGACACGAGTGGCTCCCGCCGGCTCAGAGCCCACGGCCCAGAGCTAGGAGTAGGAACCTGCTGACATCCCCCCACCCCAAAGGCTGTTCCAGGATCAGCTCACCCAACCCAACACATACAGAGTGATTTTGTGCAGGAATGGAGGAGCACTGATCCTGGACCAGGGCCTGGTGGTGGCCACCCAGGGCATGAACAAACTGGGCTGCTTTTCCCCAGGATGAAACCATAAAGAGGATGGAGGAGCAGCCACTTGAAGACCCAGCAGAGAGACAGAGGGCTGCTGGATTTTGTGGGGGGGGGGGGGGACTCAGTTCAGCACTTCCTGGCCGTCTGTCCCGTGCCCTCAGGGGTGACGATCCTAGGGCCCACAGGCAGTACGGTTGTTTCAGAACCACAGATCTTCAGGGCTGGGAGGGGGTTGTATTTTACACACTGGTAGATGGCGAATAGGGGCACCTTGTTTTGTAGTGTCTCCCCCCCCCGCCCCCCCCCAGGATGACGGATTTGGTTCTCCCTCCTATATCAATCTTGGATTTTGACCCCCTACTCGCTTGTTTTGGTATAATGCCCCCCCTCCCCACCCCCATCTCATTTCACAGCCTCCAGTGCAGTCCTCAGCAGAGCATGTTTACAAAGGTCTGAGTGACCCGTTTGTCTCGAAATCGCCCATTGCTGCCCAAACTTTGAGTCAGAGGGCGCCCCCCCAGAGCCCTGGTGACCGCAGGGCCGGGCCGGGGGTTCAGTCAGCAGACGACGGGTCTCCTAGGAAGGAGAGCTCCTCACGGACTCACATGGTAGTCTCTCCGCAGCCTTGAGACTCTCTTCCAACCAAGAAACCAAAATTTACTGTATGAGTATTGCAAGCACAGGGGAAAAAAAAGAAAGTATTTTAGTCCTTACAAATCAAGTATTCAGAACATGAAAAGTATCCTTATGGCACTAAAGTTGTCTTTTTGAATATAGATGGATTTTTATATACAAATTTGATACGTTCTTTGTTTTTTTTTCTTGAACCTCATTTTGAGCCGACGGATGGCTGTGAGCCATCACTTTGAGCTGATTGGAGTTCAGTCGTAGTGCTTAACTACTAAAGACCCAAGAAACCCAAGAACAAAAAAAGGAGATGTGCCAGAAGAGTCAGGTCGCCCATCCTGCGGGGTCAGGGGTCAGGGAATGACCAATGCACTGATACACCAATGCATTTGAAAAACACTTTTCATTCATCTTTTGGTCTGAAAAACTGATTTATTCATTCTTTAAAACTTGCAATACAGCTTTAATCGCTTAGATGACTTTTTTTTTTACTTATTGATTTTGTTTTTCACTTTTTGTATTTGTATCTGTTTCGATTACCCTGCCTGCCGGAGTAGTGGGTTACCCACCTGACTTTTCAGACGTGGTTGCTGATCATGTGACCTGCCCTGTAAGCAGGTTTTGGGGTGAACGTGGTGTCCATCACTGTAGCCTTTGACACACATTGCTCTCGCCACAAAGTACCACTGCAGCGGGAGGCCACCGCTTTGCAGTTTTCCTGTCATGCTTTATATAACTGTTGTCGGTTTATACATGTGCAAAAATCCTGCTCCAATTGAATGTATCCAGTTTTATTACATTGCTTCTTTCATTTGGTTGGAGTTACTGCTGTCGTCTTCAGCGATTGTTTTTAAGTTTAATTTTCATTTTAAATGGGCTTCTAAATGTTTTATAATTTGCAGGAAAGGTAAACAATGCTGATTGTTTGCACAGCCAAAAAAAAGTTTGTGAAAATGACATGATGATGGATTGAACTGATAAAGATGTTAATGCGTTTGTTATTTTGCATAAAGATGTTTTAAAATCTGAACTATTATGTCAAGTTAATTTTACCGGACTGATGGTATTTCTGTATAAAGAATTTTAACCAAAAAAGGGAAAAGAAATGAATAAACTTGGGAATTTTTATTTAATAAAGTTCACTGAACCATTTCTGAGATCCATGGAAAAGGAACAAAATTATGTTTTAGTGTGTTTTCGGTGAGTTAATCTATTAAATACGTTTAGATTATTTATATGAATTAATGAATTATTGATATTTATATGAATTAATCTTAAGTGGCTGATGGGTTTGCACCTACATACAATGAGCTTTTCAGTTGATCAGGGGTAAAAAATCTAGATTGTGAATTACAATTAGAACTATGGCAATGACTGATGCTTATAATTCTAATATACAAACAATAAACATTCAATAATATAAAACAATTGCCATTTGGAAACTGATGGGGTACATCGGGTTTTTAAGCATTTGTCACCTTAGAATTGCATAACAAAAGATATTGGGTAGAGAGAAGAACATTTCACACCCATTTCCTAAAAGCCTCTTTAAAATCGAGGGTGTTAATTTGACACTCACTTCTAATATAATTTGAAGGCTGCTCCCAAGCCTAAAACTGGAGGAAGAATGACCAGAACATTCCCTGTTCAGCCACCAGGGGTCAGTGTTGGGGTTATGCTGATGGACTGCTGACACTATTGGGATGGGCAGGTGTCTCGCCTGGGGAACCTTGCAAGTTATTAAAGCCAGCTGATTGTTTTCAGAAGGGTCTCTCGCAACCAAGGGCACTCAATATGGAGGGAGAGGCTGAATGGTGAAGGAGACACACAGCCATTCGCTTGTGCATGTTAGTCATTTTCAATGCATTCTCTTACGCTAATAGCAATTTTCCATTGCCACCAAGAAAAATCCCAACTTCCTGCTTAAGAAGTATTATAGAACAGCTGAACGAAATGGATTTGTAATGCAAATTTACGCAAGCATAAGCTAAGGCCGCAAGCACAAGCTAAGGCTGCAAGCACTTGATACTTGTATAACACCACAATTCTCACAGATGAGCTAGTGGAAATTAGCATATGGTAACAAACATATATATATATATATATTTGCACATTGTGAATGTACACCGTGTGAACAGTAAATAAACGTATTTTCGGTTTTCCATGACTATCACCCTCCAAACCCCGCCTTCACCGAGCCGACCCTTCAGCGGTGGAACACCAAAGCGAGCTGGAACCGCGCTGTATATGGTTTCTGCAGTTTGGCTCGGTTCCTGAATGTCAGTGGAAAAGCGGCATAAGTCTGGATTCTAAGTGGACCTCTAACTGTGACCAAAAGAGGAATCTAGCAGCACATTAGTTTGCTAATTAAGGTTTTATCTGTATATCTCATGGTACATGGGCTTTCAGTCAATTAAAATACAGTGGTACCACAGTTCTCGAGCTCATTAGAACTCGAATTTCTTAAAAGTCGAACCAATCAGTTTGAAAAAAAATTACCTAGAGCTCGATCTAAATCTCAGAAGTCAAACCGTGAACGCCGATCTAAGATAACTTGTACGCGCGGGGAAATGAGTCACGCGGCATGTCTCTCAGCGGAAACAAAGGGTAACGCTTCAGTCTCGGCCTCGCATTGGCTGTGATAGCATCCTGCATGTTTACACTAACTGAATACATATATTTAGACAGTAAAAATACATTTAGACAATGATAAACAGTGACAGCAATTATTATTATATAATAAAATACATTTAAAAATAAAGATTTCTTATTAATTATTTTAATATTAATAATAAACCATTAATACGTTTAATTATAATAATATTGTCGTGCTGAATGGGGACGGAACGGAGACAAAGGCGCAGACGTCAGGGTATCGGGGAATACGGGGTTTAATTACAGGTAAGGCAGGCAAAACGCAGACGGACAATACAATGACCGGACTGGGGAAACAAACTGAAACGCGGACTAAATACAGAGGACTAATGACAACAACCAGAAACAGCTGATCACATGGGGATTCCACACGGGGTTAACGAGGGGGCGTGGCACACGGAAGGAGCAGACGATCGGGGCAGGACACATTGTTTTTTTTTTTTACTTTACAAATTGTTTGGATACATTTATTTTCTTACGTTAAAAATTACTGTTTTGATAAATGTGCTTAGATGTGTTTAGTACAGTATATGCTCTTCTTGTTTTATCCGGTTCATTTTGTGTTTAAATGCTAAAAAAAAAAAAACATATTTAGGTGTAATTGTTTGGGGCCGGGAACCAATTAATTGGTTTTCCATAATTTCTTATGGGGAAAATTCGATCAGAACTCAAACTTTTTAGGATTCGATCTGAACAGATTAAGTTCGAATTTCGAGGGCCACTGTATACAGACAAATCAAAACCTGAATAAATGGCAAACTCCAGACTGGTCATATCGCAGTTGGTTGTAGAGTCTACACAGAGGTTACAGTACCAATACTTACATACACTCAAAAACAAACACACAGGCACACAGTACACTGACAGACTACAACATCAGTGTTTACATCCAGCCAAAAACACACACAGAACGCACAGTGTTAAACATTAAAGAAGGACAGCTGTGGAGGAAACGTAAATGTGGGTTGTTTTCCCTCTCCCTCCAGGACATTAAATAATGAAACGTGAGAAATAATGTGACGTTAACGGTGCAGGCCTCCCCAGCTCCACTGCTCTCTTCCTGCCTTCACCATCAAAGTTTAATCCTGGCTTCCCAAAACACCGAGTTCTCCATTATTGACTAGCTAAGCTTGACTGGCTACTGTGAATGCATATCGGAGCTGCATACCCTTCTCAAACACACATGCATGCACGCCGGCTCCCTTCGGGCATCGCTCCACTGAGCTCACATACTATGATACAAAAAAACCTTCTAGAAGCCCAGGAACAATGGGGCCAGATGGGCTTGCTTTTTAAATTCAAGGCAAAAAAGCGTGAGAACGGGCAAGATTTACTTATCATTCTGTGTCTATGAAAGCTTTTTAAAACGAGCAGTCTCACGATGTTGCAGCCTGGCTTCCTGAGAGCCTCGTCTCGACTCTTTTAAAGTCTGAGAATCTGAGGTCTTTCGGAAAAAGACCCCCGATCCCCGCGCACCACAGGAGGGCCGCTGGCTGCACGTGAAGCACGTGAGCAGGGGCTCCGATACGCGAGGCCGTCACCGCACACATGCACACGCTTCACTTTATTCACTTATACAGTATTTAGGGCACAAGCGCCTCGCATCCTGTCCCTCATGGAAAAACCTGAATGCGTCTCACTTTCGGTCGCCTGTCCCCGGTCCCATGGCAACACCGTCCCTCCCACTGTCCTTCAGTCTCCCCACACAACCTCTCTTTCCCCTCTTTTCTGCATCGCACTCCCCGCCTCTCTTGACCTCTGTTTCTCTTGCAGTGTACCTACATCAGCGCCCC